CATAACCACTTGCCCAAAGGAGGCTCTCAACATTTCCTCCACAGCCCTGAACCCCAAGGAGCAGAAACTCCACAAAGCATGCAAGGTATGCCAAGTGGCAGAGTTGGCCTGGTGGTAGAAGGGAGGTCCAGGTTCTTGCCAGGACTGGCTACTCTGGTTTCTGTCTTCTTCATCCTGTGCCAACCATCCTGTCAGATGAATGGTTCAATTGGCCAATTGACAGCTCCGGGGGGGGGCACTTCGGCCAGAGCCCTGCCACCCCAGCCCTGTCACCACTACCCTGCCACTGCAGCCCCTTTCATTTCTCATTTTGTGCCCACTCTTGATGCCTTCCCTTCACATGTGCAGAATAAAAACACGAACCTGTCTCCCCAGGCTGTAAAAAGAAATGGCTGACATAAAAACAGGAAAAATAAAAAGATAATAGGGCACTTTGTGAATACACTGCACATAAATACTAAATAAGGCAACGGTAACTGCAGCTGCAGTGGAGGAAGAGGAAGCCGTGTACCAGGGAATTCCAGAGTGCCAAGCAGCAAACCCGATGTGCAGTTTCTACTACTGCTATTTCTTAGTCCTTTTTGAGGAAAAAGGACTTCAAAGATTTCCACCAGGCACCCACACAGCCAATGTCTGGGGCATGAGCTATCTCTTTCAATTTCAATTTGAATACATCAAAGAATCCAGGAAGATGACAAGTTACTCTCCCCTACCACATACACACACACACACACACACACACACTTAAGAAAGGATGGCTTTCGGGTCCCTTCCTAGAAATGAAGAAAGGAATAGAGCTCACTAATAAGATAACCCCCACCGTCTTCTGACTTTTGGTTAGAGTGAGGGACCATGATTATCAAAAATATTGTCTGTTTGCCCCAACATCTCAGTCATTTCTCCTCTTCTTGTTTCTAGATCTGAATTCAAAAGATGGAGGTCAGTGACTTACAAATAATAATCAGGATTTCTACTTTGTTAAAAATGGTGGATAATTTGCTTTGGTGTTTCTTCATTAGGTTTATATATTTGCACTCTGAAACAATGTGATAGCTGGGCACTGGTGGCAAACATCTGTAACACTAGCTTCTCAGGAGGATGGGACCTGGAGTATCAAAGTTCAAAGCCAGGAAGACTCCGTCTTCAATTAAAGAGAAGAATGGTAGACTAGAGGTATGGATTAAGTGGTAGAACATCCACCATAAGCAAGAGAAGCGAGAGTGAGTAGCCTGAGTTCAAGCCCCAGTACCAGTACAAAAACAAAACAAAACAAAAACAGACCAACTTTATGGGTCATGAATATAATCTCAGCACCACACCAGAGGCAGAGACGAAAAGAAAATCACAAATTTGAGGCCAGTTTGGTGTACAGCCAGAAACTTGTCTCAAAAATGAACAAAAAGAGCTGGGAAGGTGGCTCAGTGGTAGAGTGCTTGCTTTGCATGCCTGACGCCCTGAGTTCTGTTCCTCAGCACCACATAAGCAGAAAAGGCTGAAGTGTCGCTGTGGCTCAAGTGGTAGAGCACTAGCCTTGAGCTGAAGAGCTGAGGGACAGCGCCCAGGCCCAGAGTTCAGGCCCCATGACCAAAAAAAAAAAAAAAAAAAAGCCAGGCATTGGTCGCTTATGCCTAGTACTAACTACTCAAGAGACTGAGATTTGAGTATCATAGTTTGAAGCCAGCCTGGGCAGGGAAGTCTGTGAAATTCTCCTTTCTACTTAACCACTAAAGAGCCAGAAGCAGAGCTGTGGCTCCAGTGGTAGACAGCCAATCTTGAGCAAAAAGGCTCAGGGACAGAGCCCAGGCCTTGAGTTCAAGACTTAGGATTAGCACACATTCTCTCTCTCTCTCTCTCTCTCTCTCTCTCTCTCTCTCTCACCCACACACACACACACACACACACACACACACACACATGTCAAAAGTGAAATGATGCTCTACTATGTGCCACTTTGGAAGAATATGGAGAAATGGGAACCCCACCCTTGTGCATTGTTGGTGGGAATATAAAAGGGTACAGTATTTATGGAATTATAATATACAATATCTAATAAAAAATATAGGCTTTAGCAATTCTACTTCTGGGTGTATAATTCAAAAGAATTGAAAGCAAGAACTCAAGGAAGTATCTGCACACTCATGTCCATAGCAGTGCTATTCACATTAGACAAAAAGTTCAAGTAAGTCAAGAATGTAATGATAGATGAAAGAGGAAAAAAAATCATATATTTTACTACAAGAAAAAAATGTACTGAGCCAGGGAGCTCTATAACCCTAGTCACTCAGGAGGCTGAGATCTAAGGATCATGGTTCAAAGCCAACCTAGACAAGAAAGTCCATAAAACTCTCATCTCCAGTTTAGCACCAAAAAGCCAGAAGTGGAGCTGTGCCTCAAGTGGTAGAGTGTGAGCCATGTGTCAAAGACAGCATCCAGGCCTGAGTTCAAGTCCTAGAATCAGCACACACACACACACACACACACACACACACACACACACACACACACTAGTTTGTAGCTATGACATCATATTCTAGCGTTCCAACATCCATGAGGAAGAGGAGTAGGAATTCCAATCTCCCTGGTACAGTTTATATAAAGGAAAGTGAGACCCATCAGCACTAGGTATCCTGGCATGTGGCTACTCTCTGCCTGTGGCTTTTAATTTGCAGCATAGAAACAGGCGCTCACTTGCCGGGCGCTGGTGGCTCACGCCTGTAATCCTAGCTACTCAGGAGGCTGAGATCTGAGGATCCAAGTTCAAAGCCAGCCCGGGCAGGAAAGAAGGTGAGACTCCTATCTCCAATAAATCACCAGAAAACCGGAAGTGGCGCTGTAGCTCAAGTAGTAGAGCGCTCGCCTTGAGCTGAAGAGCTGAGGGACAGCGCCCAGGCCCAGAGTTCAAGCCCCACGGCCGACCAAAAAAGAAAAAAGAAACAGGCGCCAGGGTAGTTTGGATCTGCCTGGGACTCCTCCATTCTCTTCCTGGTTTCTCTTCTGTTACCTCCTATACTCCAAGAAGGTTGCCAGACTTAACAGGAAGCCTCCAGGATGGACCTCCCATTATGACTGGCTCTCACGTTGGCACTGACCCCCGAGGAGAGGGAGGCCGGAGCCACCTCAAGCCCCACTGTCTGGGTGGTGTCCCTTGTCCTGTCCTCTCCTGGCCCCTAGAGTCTTCTTTTGCCTTATCCTGGAACCCCCTCCTGAGCTCCCATCCCTTGTCAGCCTCCTCCAAACTCGGTTCCCAGTTTTTAGGACAGCACAACCCTTCAGCATCCAACCAACTCCTTCCTCCCAGGAGACAGGTCTCAGCTTTCCTGGGGGCCACTGCTGAGTCAAATCTCTCAATAATATCTCTCTCTCCCATTCCTCCTCCTTTACCATCCTCTTTTCATCTCCCTTTTCTTCTAGAAGTTTCTGTATGGGCAGACCATTTAATTGTGCGGCTGATTTTGTTTGCTTGAAAACAGGTGCACCTGCTTGGGCTTTGTGGGACTTTCCCATCACTGGCCAAAAGGAGAGAGGTAGAGCTTGCTTGACACCAGGGCCCTTTTGAAGACAAGGACAAGAAGATAGGGCCTCTTTGGTGGGGCTGGGTGTGCCAGAGGGAACATGGAAGGGAGGCAAGGCCTGGCCTGGGAACTGGGGAGGGTCCTAGGTTGGTGCTATTCCCGAGTCCAAGGAAGGGGAGCTGGGAGGGGGAATCTAGAGTCTCCAACGGTGTGAGTGTGTTTAGTAGTGGAAGTAGAGGGGGAGAGGTGTCATGGCCGGGGAGTTCTGGGAAAGTGGGACCCTTCCCGCCCATCCTGGGCGCCTCCACCCAGCGTCAACTTTTTGCTGTTCCCGTTAGATGGCGCTCAAGACTTTCTAACCACTTGGTGAAAGTGCTCCTGGCCCGGAACAAAAAGAACTAGGGGTGTGAGGAGGCGAGGGGAGCGGTGGGGGGTGGGGGGGGAGAGGGGAAAAGAGGGGGTGCGCGCGCGCGGGCCGGGCACGGGGCGCGGGTGTCGCCTGGCACCACGCGAGACGACGTCACGGGTCAGCCTGGCCTCGGCGGGGGTGAGCTGCGGGGAGGACTTGGAGCCTCCCGCCTAGAACTTTCTTTCCTTTACGGTTCCCGTGGCTGCTCGCTGCCGGGGGCAGCCCTGGCCACGCTCAAGAGAGAGAGAAAACTGGTGCCCAGGGGTGACAGAGGAAAGAAGCGGGGTGCAGACGCACCTGGACCCCCACCCCGCGCCTTGACTCTGCCCCAGCTCTGGCACACCTGTCTGGGATCTGTTTCTTTTCTTTCTAAAGAGAAGAGGGGGAGGGGGCAGGTGCAGGTTTTGTTCCCGTCGTTTTTTAACCACTCGGTTGAAACGGTTCCAGGAGAGGTTCAGAAAGCTCCGGGCGCGCGTATTTCCAGCGGGGCACACCTTCTCAGCTCCAATGCTTCCTTAAAAATAAAACAAAAAGCCCTCTGATAACCTCGAGAATCAGATGCGACCAGTAATCTTAAAACAATCATTGATGGAACCGATCAAGGATCAAGCTTTCTCTGTGACATAAATTCACTTTTTCTAGTCTTTTACCAGTCTCCAGGAAAAAGTGAAGGGGCGATTGGCGACGCGTCCCCTAGTCCTCTCCTTCGGGAGGATGTAAGCGCGCAGAAGGATGGGTCTCCGCACCCTCCGGGAACCCGCCACAGCCAAGATCTTCCCTTATGTTCCCCTTAACTGTGAACTTTCCCGCGCGGTAGGTGCCCCTTTAAGAAAGTAGAGATTGCCATGAATATTTCATAGGGAGCACCGGCTATCCAAGCTTGACAAGGGGGAGCCGAGGACCCGGTCCCCGCGCGCGCAGCGGCCGGGGCGCACAGCCCGCCGGGCCCCACCCGTCCCGCCGCGGCTAGAACCTGGGAACGGGCGGAAGGTGGCTGAAGGAAATGGCTTGGGGAGGCGACGGGGGTGGGGGGGGGGACGGGAAAGAGACTGGACCCGGGGTTCCAGGGTCGGAGAGAGCGGGCATTCGCGTTCATTTCCATAAGAAAGCTGCGATCCCCGTTGGAGGCCGGATTTCTTGGGCCCCTCTGCCCTTCCCCCACAGCCGGGTTTCTGTAAGCAGCGGGCCGGGGAGCGCAGAGGTCCAAGTGCGTGCTGTGCTTGTTGATGGTGTTGATAAAATGTGCTTTGAAAGGTTGTCCTGGTTGAGGCCAGTTTCCTGTCTGTGCGTGGAGTGGAAGGAGCGCGCCGGGTGAGTCCAGAGCTCCGGGGAGCGGGCAGGGAAAGAGGTGAGTCAGGATGAGCACTGTGGATGTAGGTCGCCCTGGAGAGAAAGCCCTCCCAAGGTTTTGAATGGAGAGGAGTCAGGTTGAGACCAAATCCATGGAACACAGGTGTGTGTGTGTGTGTGTGTGTGTGTGTGTGTATGTGTTTTGGAGTAGATGATGATAAAGGGAGTCACAAAAGCCCCAGAGCCCAGGCCGCCCCGCACTTGGGAAGGACGGAGTGGCCTTGCGGGGGTCCCTCAGCAAAACCCCAGGGAACTTTCGCTCGCCACTGCCTACCCTCTTCCTACGAAGGAATAAAGTGAACTTGCTCGTATATTTGAGCCCACAGTTCTCTCTTCGTTTGCATCGAGTTTCTTTTTCGGATTTCAGTGTGAACAGTGCTCGTGTATCCTTAATTCTATCACACCCACACGCACACACCCGTCTCCCAGGTACTTTATTATCACATTTGGAGAAATCAAAAACCAGATCTGTAATATTTATCCCTCATTTACAAAGAGCAAGTGGGGGTGGGGTGGAATTTGTTAGACACATATCTGCGAATATAGCAAAAGTATTTTTCTTTCCACTGGGAAAAGTTGCCTGAAAATGGCTGGCTTCCTTTTACCAATTCTGGACCACCTGTACCTCCCTGCGAAACTAAATGGGGTCACTAATAAAGCACCAATTAGATGGAGCAATTAGATACCAATTATGACTATTAACAACTCTATCACTAATGATTGTAGTTGAGGACTACAAAGCTGGTCAAATTGATCAAGCTATTTAAAAATTCTGTTACCTAAGAGTTTTATATCCCTTCTACCCTTAAAGGAAGTAAGAAGAGCCAAGGAGTTGACCAGTAGGTATCCATCCACCCTCAGTGTTGAATTTCTTTCTTTCAGTAGAGTGTATTGCTACTTCCTGTAAATAATGGAGTCTTCATTTTGGGGCCCTGTCAAGTTATGCAAAGTGTAACTGATGAAGATGGTTGCAACACAGTTGGTTTGGATGTGAAATTGGGGCAGGGTGGGGGTACAATTTCTCTTCAATTATTTGGTTGTTTCTGAAAATCATGTACATGTTCTAACTCTTCAGATGGAGGAAATGGCTCCTGGGGTACTAGTAGGCAAAGGAATGAAAATTGCTAAGATTCAGAGAAAAGGCTTATTCACACCTATAATCCTAACTACTCAGGAGGCTGAGATATAAGAATCACGGTTCAAAGCCAGCCAAGCAGGAAAAGTCTGGGAGACTCTTATCTCCAATTACCCATCCAAAAGCTAGAAATGGAGGTGTGATGCAAGTGGTAGAGCACTAGCCTTGAGTGAAAAAACTAAGAGGCAGTGCCCGCGCCCTGGAGTTCAAACAACAGCACCAGCACCAAAGAGGAAAAACAAGAGAAACAGAGATATAAGGGATTTGGGTGTCCATTTAAATTTTTCTTCTGGCCTTGGCAGATCAGAACTCAGTGGCTTACCAAGTGAAAAGTTATCAAGATTTTACTGGTTTAAAAGTCTGCAGTATAGCTTGGTTTACTTTTTGTTGAGGATGATAAGCTTCCTGTCTTAACCTTTTTACTGACAACCCTTGTAATCAAATTAAAGTTAAAGCTCACTTCTGGAGTGGAAAGATCAGTCCCCAGCAAGAAGAATAAGAGGAGGGGGAAAAAAAATAAGCAGTTTGCCAGAGCTCCTCTACCAGTGAGAAACAGGCTAAGCAACAGGACTGTTGAAAGAGCCAGGAGTTCCTCTCCATATTGATTGCTTCTGCTCACAGTTGCTTGGTTCCACCCTTCATTCTGGCTTTCTAGACCACTGGAAGTGTTTGGGGAAATAGAACTTCAAATCTGTTTTCCTTAGAACAGTCTTTGCCCAGCACCTGAGTTCCTGCATGGAAGCCTGCTGCAGCAGCATACATCTGGTCATGATGTATTTGCTAGGATGTGGTGGAGATTCCCAGGCTGCATTGTAGACACTTGAGTTGCTTAAGATGAGAAAGCTACACTGCTCAGCAGTCCTAAAGGTTTTGATTGGTTCCTAGCGCTCTGTGTGTGTGTGTGTGTGTGTGTGTGTGTGTGTGTGTGTGTGTGTGTACTTGTACTGGGGCTTGAACTTAGGGCATTGGTGCTGACCCTTAGTTTTTCCTCTCAAGGCTGGTGCTCTTCCACGTGAGCTACAGCTTTCCTTCTTGCTTTTTGTTGGTTAGAAGTAAGAGTCTCATAGATGTTCCTGTTCAGGATGGCTTCAAACTGTCATCCTCAGATCTTAGCCTCCTTACTTGCTAGGATTATAGCATGCGGCACCGTGCCTGGCTCTCATTTTTATTTTGTCAGAATTAGTTGCTCTCCTCTGGGGCATCTCACACTTCAGACCAGCCAAGAAATACTGTTGGGAAGAAAGAAATCCTCCACAGGTAACAGGCAAATAATCCCCCAAACCGTGTTTGAGTGGAATGAGCTTGGGTTAGTCTCTCTTTAGTGGGTCCTATGGATAAACTTTATTCTGCCCTGTACTGCAGGCAACTTATGTAGGACCCTGATGAATCCTGAAAGAAAAGCTAATACAGCCCTTTATGTGGGCCACTGACCCCACAGGCAGGCCTTAACAGGCGGGCTTCACGGGCTTCACAAGTCAGCAGCAATTCCCTGCTGTCCCTAAACCAACCCCTCCCAGAGAACAAACTCTCTTTTAATCCTGAGAACTCCAGAAACTCCAGGGGGCCAGAGGCTAGGACTGGGTTCCACGCAACTTCCAGCAAGGCTCATCAGTTTAGGGTTTGCCTTCCAAGGTCTGGGGATGGAGTTGGCAGGGCTTGGGAACCAGGAGGAAACAACAACAACAACAACAACCCTACCAATTGTTCTCATTCCTAGTCAGCTGTAGACAAGTCTGAAACGTCAGACTTTGTGAGGAGGGGAGGGATAGGGGGTGGAGCTGGCCCTAGGTTTATTGACCCTCCAGTGCAATCTGGTGGTTCTAGCAGGAGATCCTGAGATCTGTGCTAGAAGAAAGACCAGAGATCTTCCCAAATGCCCAGGAAAAGTGAAGAATACCAAAAGCTAGTTGGTTCCCAGACTACATCACTGCTTCCCTTTTGCTCAGGAGGTCCCTATCACCCAAGTCTCAAGACACCTGGTGGTGGAAACTAGAGAGAGAGAGCCAAATTTCCCTCAACTTGTCATTTGTTTGAAAGTTGTCAGATAAGCGGGAAACATTTCTCTCACTAATAGGGTCTCCCAGGTGTCAGAAAACCTTTCAATTCCTAGTGTATCCTTCATATCCTCTTAGGGGGACACTTACACACTATTTAGGATTTGAAGAAGAAGAAAGGCAGGAAGGAAAAGAAGGAGGCTGATTGATGCCCAGCTACCCAAGTAAGTGTAAATGAGTTTATTTCCTAAAAAGAAATTTTACACCTTTAAACTTTTCCCAGCCAGGGCTCACCAAATTTCATTACTGTTTCTTGTCAGCAACCATCCCCCTCCTCCATCTCTTTTTCTCAGGCTTCTTTGTGGCTTAAGCTTGCATTTTAGGAGGGTTTATATAATGTTCATGTCAGCAAGTCTCTCTGTCTCCACCCTCACCCAGCTTCTTGTATGAAAGTGTAGTTGGAAACCACACACGCAAGATCTTTAAAAAATTTTCTGCTATTCTTCCTGACTAGAAGAATTGACAAGACATAGACACATTAAGTTGCATAAAATACAGTGGACTGATCAGCCAAAATGCATCTCATTTGCACTTGTATGTAGCTAGGGTTGGGGCTTGTGTCACTCACAGCCTCCTGAAATCTCCGCCAAGCTAGAGTGACTGGGTAGAATTTCTAGCAGGCCCCGTGGTGAGGCCATTTGTGAGGTAGGAGGCCCAGCTCAGCCTGGGCAGCGGGAGATGGAGGGAGGTGGGGAGGTGGGGAGGTGGTGGGGAAGTGTCTGGAGGCCTGGTCTGAGGGTTGAAGAAGCGAGTATAAAACTTCATGCTCAGTGGTTCAGGAGGCTGGGACAATTGGTTGGTGGATGTCCGCAGACAAAGATAGGAGGTCTGTAGTGATCCCTCTGGGCATCCACTGGGTTGTAAAGAAAGGAGACACCTTGAAGTAGAGGAATAGTCACTGACTGTATTTTATACCCCAATGAAACCCTCTCCCAGGTTGTATCCTTGGACACCATAGAAGGGATATCTGTGTCTGACTGGGCTCTGTACCTGCAGCTGACCGTGAACTTGGACTCTGAGCTTCCCACTACTTGATTCTACTACCCTTCCTAGGCTACCAATGGGGAAAGGGGACATGTAACTGGAGTTTCTCAACCTGGAGGCAGAAACGCTGGGGCTTTAGTGTCCTTCTTTCCTTCCTTCCTTCCTTCCTTCCTTCCTTCCTTCCTTCCTTCCTTCCTTCCTTCCTTCCTTCCTTCCTTCTTTTCTTATTTATTCTTCCTTTCTTTCATTTTTTCTCTTTCCCTCCCTCCCTCCCTTCGTCTTTCCTTCTTTCTTTCTTTCCTTTTTCTTTCTCTCTCTCCTTCTACTCCCTCTCCCTCCCTCTTCCCCCCTCCCTCCCTTCCTCTTGCTTGCTTTCCTCTCTGTCTTTCTCTCTGTGTGTCTCTCTGTCTCTGTTTCTCTCTGTCTCCCCCCCCCCCCTCTTTCCCTTCCTTCTTTATTTCCACCTTATGTAGACTTCAATCCTCTTGGTCTCCAGGGTTGAATTGCCAATTCACACCGACGGGTTCTTGCCCCACAGCTGGAGGCCAGGGTTGTGCATGGTCTTAGGGTTACTACCAGGTTCTGTGCCAGCAGGGAGAGTGGCACAGAGATGCTGGTGAAACCGGGGTCTTTGGGGGAGCCACGGAGCGGGTGAAGGAGAACCGAGTGCACCCAGTGCGCAGGCCTAGGCGAGCGCCCTAGGACGTCTCAGGGTAAGGGGTGCTTCTATCCCAGCGTCCTGTTTCTTGTCCTCACAAAGTGTAAGGCTTGCAGAGACACCTCTTACTCCCCCACTCCTCAGGGATCTGGCTGGAGGTCCCAGCACAGGGGTGGTGGTGGTGGTGGTGGTGGTGGTGGTGGTGGTGGTGGTGGAGGAGGAGGAGGAGGGAGGCTGTACTCAAGGCCTGAGTTCTGCCCTCAATCTTCCGGGGCAACCAAGGGGCAGGTGCGTTGCCCAACAAAGCCACCGCCTCCGTGAGCCGCCCAAAGAATTTGCCAGGAACGGCCCTGTGGACCTAGGCGCAGCCACCTACCCAAGAACACGGAGGCCTGCGGGGGAGCAGGAGACGCCTGAGGGCCTGGCAGCCAAGCCTGCACCCCATCCCCCCTCCCCCCCCCCCCCCCCCCCCGCACCTACGCGGCCGGCCCGGGTGTGTGTGTATGGAGTGTATGTGTGCAATCAACCGCCTCTACCTCCTGGGAGCTGGGGAGACGCCTGCAAGGTGTGTGATCCTTGCTAGTAGTTTTTGCTGGAAGCCTTTGTTACAGCTTTGTCCGCGGGCGTGTCTTCATCTGCAGCCACTGCTGGGCCGCTCTGGTCCCTCTCTCCTACATCCCTGAGGAGAGGACTCGGTGCGGTACGTGGGGGCGAATCTGCCCAGGATCAATCGTCTTGCTCCAATTCCCCTCTTTCAAAAACGTTTCCCCCTTGCCTGCAATTTCCCTTTCAGGCCTGGGGGGCAGATAAACAGTTCTTTACCACCAAGGCCTTTGGGGCCAAGCTTTGCCCAGAGATCAGGCTTTTTGAACATGACCTCGCGCTACTGCTGGTGGTAAATAAGAGTTGGGCCTGGCCAGGGTGGGTCCTGCGGGGTGCAGCTGGGAGGGAGTAACCTGGCCTCATCTGGATTCGAAGATTCTGACAGAGTTGAGTAGAATGCCATTTGTCTTCTGCTGGACATAGGCAATGAAGATGCAGTATTCTTGAGGACCTTTGCCTTCCGATCCTAAGTCCCTGCATCAAGTGTGACACCTCCTCAGGCAGGACCTCTGAAGGATGCTCTGGCACACAGAACTGGAAAATAGGACTGTCTTCATGCACACCAGTTTACCCAAGACACGACACACCCTACTCCCTCCCTCTCTCCCCTCTCTGCAGTATTTCTGTTGAATTGGTCTTCATGTCTCCTTCTTGGGCTTTTCTGCCCGCATTTGGAGAAATGTGGTATGTGTGTGTGTGTCTGTGTGTGTGTGTGTGTGTGTGCACCTCTCCTAGCAGAGGTTTCTGTACATTACATAACACACTAGCAGGGGATTCCTCAGAGATCATTTTGTCCCAAATCAGCTAGCACTTGGTGTTCTGGCAAGGTGATGCAAATGGCAGTCAAGGCTCCTGTCCCTGGGGGCTTTTGTTCTCCTCCTTGAAGCCCAAGTTCAAGGGACTGGAAGAAAGAGGTGAGACAACTGATCTCCCTTTTGGTCTCTCTCCTGGTTTCCACCCTTTCACCTGTAGGTTTCCTCTTTGATTTGAGGAGGAAAGCCCAGAAAGCTGCTGGGTGAGGTATATATGTAGATCCTGCGGACCCAAGCACCTCTCCTCACTGAAAAGCAGAAAGCCCATTCAGGTGGTGGTGGTTTTTGAGTTTTTGCCACCCCCATTTCCCCAGACTAGTGGAACTTGAGGTTACTGGCTTAACAAACCTCTCCTGTTAAAAAGCAGTCGGGACATGAATGGGGATGTGGTCCAGTGGTAGAGCACTAACCTTGTCTATGCAAGGTCTTGGGGTTTTATCCCCAACACCAACCAACCAACCAAACAAACAAACAAAACTCTCCCTGAGATAGCTAGGCAATAGTTCTTAGAAGGAGGTAAAAGCCTGAAATGTTTAAATTGGAAAGATTTCTCCTCCCAAACCATTCACTAAATATAGTTTGTAAATGTCTCCACCATTGTAACTCAAAGATTCTCAAACTAAGGCTAGTAAGAATTTTATTTTCATTTTGTTGGGTTTTGGGGTGTGTGTGTGTGTGTGTGTGTGTGTGTGTGTGTGTGTGTGTGTGTGTGTGTGTGTGTGTGTGTGATTAGATTCTTTCGATACATCGGATTTATCTTTATCTTCAACTCTGCAGGTGAGTTTTCAGCTTTGAACATGTAAATGCAAAGTCATCTTCCTTGCTGTGTAACTTACCTGGGCAGGCCCAGGCCCCTCCTCACACTTTGATATTGTATCTGACTTGGGTAGTGTGAGGTGGCAGGTTTTGACACCTTTCATTTCTGTGCTGGCAAAGGAGAGCTCTTTGTAATGAATATCCATTCTATTTCAGTGTGTAAAGTTCCAGCCGACTACACGGGCTTAACCTTCTGCTGAGAGACCATCCTGGAAGATTGGAAACTCTTCATCAAAACATCTCTTGTCTTTTTTAATGTAATTAAACAAAATTATTTAAGAAATGTTTCGGCTTCCCTCCCAGTGTATGCCCCATTACTTTGTAGCTACAATAATGAAACATGAACAGTGGTGGTCATTCTTTTCTCTTTTGTAAGAGTGTCCAGTAATAGGGACTTACAAAGCCCCAGACACAGCTCAGGTATGCCCCTGGCTTTTTGTTTTCTCCCCTCTTACTGAGCCACAATGCAAATTCACACTTGATCTTGCTTCCCTCTGGCCAACTCTTCCCCTAAGCAAAACCTCTCTGCCAACTTCCAGGAGAAGGGGATTTACTTAGAAGAACACTGAACTTCCCAAGTTCAAATGAGACCAGGATCAGGTGCTCCAGGTAGGCAATTCCGACTCTCCTGGTAGCTAGGAGATCAAACCCTTGTAGCAAACAGAAATTCTAACCAACATGTTCCAGACAATGCTAAATTGATGGCAACCTGGGATGTTTTACATATATAATTTTCCTGTATTCTCTATCAGCTCTGTTACTTGAATTCAAGTTTTGTTCACATTTGGGTACACAGAAACCAGCTAGGTTTACATTTCCAGCACATTTCTATTGGGCAACTGGTGACACTACCCATAACACACTTCTTTTCTGAAAACTCAAAAAAAAAAAAAAAAAAGCAAAAATCTCTTCCACTTAGAAAGGTTGTTTAATAGTATTTAACACTCTATAGAAAACCCTTTTTTTTCCTCCCTCAAAAAATAAGCAAACTAACTGTTCTTTTTCTCCTTTCACACACGCCAGCTATTTTCTCAAAGCAAAAAAAGTTCTGTTTCCGAAGGGAGAGAAACATACAAATTCCATTAATGAATTACATACATGGAATGTGGCTTGTCTGGAGCAATTGTATTTGTAAATAAATGGCTTCCTGTTTATTATGTCTGAGCACATCGTAATTAATACAGCAAATAGTGCGACTCTGAGTTTGAGTTTCAGCATTGTTATTTTGGCCTCATTAGATATAAGTTTAAATTGAGCTGATTGTTAAGTTCTTTATTCTTCAGTGCCCAAGATGACCTGAAGACAAGTCCCTTCTGAAGTTAACTCATTTGCAAGAGTTCGGGGAATCCGGGGCTGGTTCCTTGGAAATGTTATCCGAAGTAACCTGGGGCCTTTCACGTTTGCCCCAGAAGCTTTCTAAAGCCAACCACGACCTCAATTTGTCGCTTTAGCAGCGAAGCGGATTGTGACCTCTTTAGAGGGACATTGGGCACAGATCAGCCCGTGGGCACGCTTGCCCTGCCCTGCTGCCGAGCCCACACAGGGCCGGCTCGGTATCACCCTGTAGGACTGGGGCCCGCAACTGCCAGGGTGTGAACTGGGCATGAGTGTGTGACTGTCACAGGGTCTGGCAACAGGCAGATCACCTCCCAGCCCGCGGGAAGCTGAGGCTGGGCCAACCAACTCCGGGGGATCCAAGAACTCCACCGCCCCACAGTCCGGCCGCCCAAACTTTCACAAAGCGGCTTGCCTCCCCTTGCCCTGCCCCCCTCCGCAGTCCCAGCTGCCTGGACTTGTGAACACTGGGGAACAATGCGACCTGCAGGCGCGCCAGGCCAACGTGCTCTGACCTCTGCGCTCTCTACATTCGGATTATTGCAAAAGGAGCCCCAATTGAAGCCCTTTTCGGTGCTCACCGAAAAGCCTCTTTTAGGAAGAGGTGCCAAGCACGCCCCTCCAGTAAATAAATCTCAGTGTAGGTCTCCTGGCTGGGCTACACAGTCTTTGAAGACCCAGAGGTTCAAGACACCAGTTTCGGGCTCCAGGGCAGCAGGAGGAGACATTCTGAGATCGCCGGGAGTCAGCCAGGCCCGGGATTCAGCCTCTCTGAACTTCAGGGTCAGCTGAAGGCAGGCAGTATCTGAATCCTCCTCCCTCCCCTTCCTCAAAAGAGGCACCAGCCCTGGATGGAAAATCCACATACCTGCAGCCAGGAAGGACAGGCCTTCCTATCCTCTCGTCTTCCAAAAAGTTAAGCACACAACCTTTAAAACTGAGTGACCCCCAGCTTTTCCCCCAAGTCATCCTACCCTCCAAGGAAACTTTCAGAAGTTCCTTTTCTCTCTCCTCCTTGGGCTTTCTCCAGTTACTTGGTTTGCCGAGTACTTTACCAACTGTCCTTAGTCCCTAGGTTTCTCAAGGCCCGGTTATTTCCATAATAATAAAAATCACAACAGTTATTATTAGGCTGGGGAAGAATCGGATCAGAGGGCCAGTGGACTACCGGGAAGGCAGGAATCTTGGTGAAAAAGGAATATTTCAACCTGCGTTTCAAAAGGTTTCAGTTTGACAACTATCAGTAACCCGATAGACAACTCCATTTTAAAAAAAAAAAAAGGAGAGGAAGAAAATTTACTACTGCTCTTGAAAGCCGTTATTTTTTTACATCGCTTTTAGGAAGATAGATGAACAAAACATCGCGTTTCAAGCCATTTTGATCTGTAATTAAATGGCAGGATCGGTTTGTATTCTCCTACGGCTTTTACAGAAGTTGCAGTGATCCAAAGTCGGGTTGCTGTGTCAGAGTGGCATTTTTATTAATGAGAATACAAAAAGCTTGCATATTCTTAGCCCTGCTTGAATTTAGTTGCTAAGCAACCGGTGTATGGTAATTCATCCGCGAAATTTAAATCTTTGAGAAAAGATCGTGCGTTTTTGCTGAATGGTCGCCACGAGGAAAACAACTTGTGGGACCCGCAGCAGCTGCCACCGTCGGTCTACCGGGCCTTGCTGGGTCCAGCCGGACCCGGCCGCACCGTGGCCACAGCCATGGTCTCCCTGACTCGCTACGCTGCCATTCCTCCCCGGGAGGAGCAGGCCTTTGATACCCGGCGTCCAGCTTCCCACCACTCGACTCTGGTGATCTGGGGTTTTTCACCCCAGGCAGGCCCTACATTTGACCAAGTTGCCTTCGTCCCTGGGGCTTCTCAGTTCGCACTGCAAATTTCTCCTTCTCTCCTCTTGTGCACACGCACGTGCGCGTACACACACACACACACACACACACACACCACACCACACGCTGCCTCCAAGAGAATGCCTGTTGCCCCTTCCCAGACCCCTCTGAGGTCACTTCCAGAGCCGACTGTTCCTCGAGGAAGAGAGGACTCATCAAGAACGCAACCCAACAGCCCACCAGAAGGCCAGGCGGCCGCCGCCTCTGGCCGGCAGTGACATCATAGGCTCCTGCTCGCCAAACTCGCGCCCACATTTTAGGATACAGGAACAAACACGGATGTGAAATCAAGAATGAAAGAGAGAGTAATCTAATTAATAGGCCATGAGCCAGGCTAACAAAATCAAAGAATCTGATTACCCAAGTACCCTTCTTGCTATCTCCGCTGCCCCCACCCACCCCTAGCTCTTCCAGACTCCTCCTGATTTCCTTTCCTAGACTGGAAAGTTCAGGAGGTAAACACAGAGCCCTCTGATTTCCTTGCTGAAATCAAGATCAAGCCTACCGTGGGGCTCCAGCAGTCAGAAAGGTCACATGGGCGACCTTCAAGCCCTGGGACCAGCATCCCTGTGGAGTTGAGATGACCAAGCAACCCATAGAATTGGGAGAACCAGAGAGAGGTGGCCTCACATGCATGCGTGGGTCACACCTAAGCACAACACCTGTCTTGGTGACTTAAGCTGTCAGTAGTAGGACCAGGAAAAAGGGGTTCTCTAATCAAAGCCATTAGAAAAAGGGTCTGTTCTTTTTTTAAAATGTAGCACCATGCTCCCCACCCCCCCCCCCCCACACACCCTGCTTCTAGGTCACTTTAAACTCCCAACTATCTTCAACTACCTTTCCCAGTACAGAGATCTGGACATCTTCAGGTATTAGGTTTTGTTACAGAAGACAGTATCTTCTCTAATCCTTACAGCCAGCCACGTATATTTCAGAAGAGAATTCTTCACTTTCTATCTTTCTGCCTTAAAAAGGAAACAAAACAGTACCACCTCCTAAACAACTAATTTCAGGTCTGCATGCAGTGCCAATACTTGTTGCATCCATTTTAGAGTTGATTAATTATCTGGAACTTGGGCAAACTAAACTCCATGTGGAAAGAGTGTTTCATCCTTCCTTCAATTTAGTTCTGAAAGCTACAAGTTATTGATGGATCTCGCTCTATTTACATACAAATTGGTGCAAAGATGCCTATTTCTTAAAATGCATTTTGTATAGGTATATAAAAATGTCATTTTTGATTTAGCTTGAAGAGGTTGATCATTTATTACAAAAATAAATGAATAAATACAACAATATATTGTTGCTTCCAACAGGATAAATACTTTACAAATATATAATTAAAAACAAATTTAATTGTTAAAATTATTTCAGATATTACACTTATGGATAAAACTATAGTATATGCTGCATTTAATATTAGAACCAATTAGCCTCTGAATGTTGAAAACCATCCATACAATACAGGTTATGAGCACTGAAATGAGCAAGCTGTAGAGGCCACAGGGCAGAAGCAGAGGGCATCTCAAAGATCGATAATGGACAGTTCTATTTGGGAATAAAGTAGTCATCCTTGGCTAAATACTAAGAAAATGGAGAGGAAGAGCCACAACAGCAAAGTGACTTTTAAATATACCTCAGATGATTTACTGTACAGACTTTCAAGAGAAGATAGTTGGTGAAGGAGGGGACCAAGGCATGGAAAACTGATCGAGAAATATCAGAGGCCATTAGCTAGTTGTAAATGGGCCTGGCCTGGGACTAGCTAGGCTAGTGGAATAGAACTTTGTCATTTTCCTTTGGGTTGGAAGGGGAGGAGGGGATGGGTTGAAATGAAGGAAACAAATGGGCACTTTACAAAGAGAAGCACAAGACACTTGCACTGCTTGGGAGCACAATGACCAAATTCATTAAAAAGATCTGGTGATATATAACAATATTTTCATTATTTACATGTGTAACAATATGAGCCTCAGCACAAAACCTCTCAGTTATATCTCCTCTCTTTTGTGTTTCTACCATGAATTTCATTTTGTAAATACATTCAAAGCATTGGGTTTTTTTTTTTAGTCCAAACAGCTCACTTTATAAAATGCAAAAAGAAAAAAAGAAGAAGAAACAAAAAGGAACAAGACGGGTTTGCTCGTCCAGCTTCTTCAATTAAAAGTTAACTTTGCTAACCTTAAATCAGGGCTCTTTCCAAAGTAATCAGTATAGCTTTTTAATAGAAAACAGTGTGAAATCTAATGTAACCTCTTTTGTTATAAGCTAAATCAAGTAAGTGGATACCTCCTAAGTTTTAAAATAGACCTACCCCCTGTTTAATCAAGCACAGTGTTTCAGCAAGGAAACAAATAAAAACAACAAAAAACAACAATATGATTCCATCTCATAGACTAGCAATGTATTCCACACACAAGCAACCTGCCCAGTCCTCAGCATTCCAATGATGCCCATTTTGCTTTACACAACAGACTCTCAACAAATGAGCCCCCTCCCCAAGGTTGTAAAGTCAGTGGGCAGGGTGATTATAATAGCAACAGAAGTAAGAAACAAGAAGGCTCGGAAATGTAAATTGTGGTTTCTTGTCTTCCTTTTTTTCCTTCCTTCTGTTTAATAAATGTTGTTTTTTTCAGATTTCACAAATCAAAATGATTGTGATTTTTTAGTACGATATGGTGTTTAAAATAATGCAACCCAATACACAGCCATCTGGCTGGGCTTGATTTATGAAAGTGACACAGGGCCCGTCTGAGAGAAATAACTGTTTCTGGGTTGTTCTCATAGTTTCCCCAGGATTTCTTTTTAACCCCTGCATCCACATCTCAGGCAGAAGTGGTGACGATGAGAGAAACAGGCAAACTCTAAGAGACAGCTGAGAAAGACTGGCAGAAATTCACCTATAAAACCATTGCTTCCTCACCCATAACTGCACTTTATCTATAGGTACAGTATGCAGGGACTCAACCAAGCAGAACCCTTCGCATCTTTAGTGCTCATGACCTGAGGTAGTACATTTCAGGTTCCTATAGTATAAATATTGATATATGAACTTGACAAATGTGACCATTCTGCAGTGCTTACCTAAAAAAGTGACCTAAAAGTGGAAACCTTCAGCACCAGTAAAGAAGATAAAAGAATCCTACTGGATAGATATCAAGTCACAAAAACATGGAGCCTTAATTCTGAGCTAGTAATCACAAGGACAGTAGCCAGAACATATGGAGCCAAAGCAGAAATTTAAAACTATATTCTTTCATTACAGAAATAAAATACCCCCCCAAAAGCAAAAACAAAGAAAACAAAATGGCACAAGCATAATAATTTAAATTTAATTACATATAGTCACTGCCCAGAACTAATTGCGATCAAAATATTTCATAGATTTATAAGGTAGTCTTCACAATTATTAGTCTTTAGAAGAAGAGAAAAGGGACTGAGACTCTGCTTGGGATGTAGTATAACAGAGAAAAGGAGAGGCTGGCCTTAGTAGGGGGGTAAATTGACTATTAATGATCAGTTGGCACTTTTTTTTAACTGTTGATCATCCAATAAAGAATGCAAGTATCTAAGAAAAAGGGCTAGTTCTTATAACAAAGTCAACGAAAACCAATAAAGACACCCACTAAAATTAAGGGAGATGGGAAATAATTGTGAAATTTATGGATTAACAAGATTGGCCACTATGTTAAAGCACCAGCTGCTTTAGTAATACTTATTCTGCACTTGAGGTGTCCAAATACCAAATATCCTTAGATGGAGCAGATCTACTTTCTTAATGCTATTACTTAATGCTTTGCTTTACTTAAAAAAAAAATTCTAGAGACCTTTTTTTCTTCCCACACAGTATTTATGCATCAGACACAGACTATTTCATTCTAACAAATTTATTTTCTCAATCAGCTTCTTACGGAATCACTACTCAAATTAAATTACAATCAAATGATCACATCAAAAAGATACCCTTATTACCTAACAACTGTCCATATTTTCATTTCATTTTGATTTGTGCTCGTCTGAAAAAAACACGTAATACAAGATCTGGGGAAAAATAAATTACCGTTTTGCAGCAGTTCATAAGTATTCTGAATAAAATATTAAAAGAAGTCATTTAATGAAAATATAAAGCAAATATTTTTAGATCAACAACGGATCTAACAATTCTATATTGCCGTCTTTTCGAAAAGTCTGTTTATTAAAACCTACCAAAAACACTGCTTGGAAATGGCAGTATTATATAATCACATCCACAGCACCCATTCAATCAAAGTTGGCAACGGATTGAGGACTGAAGTCCACAGAAGTGCAGCGGCTGGTGCTTTAGTCTCTCTTAAATCCCTTTTTATCTGAGTCAGTCCAGAAATAAAAAATAAAAAATATTAATAAAAAAAATATTAGCGGTGGAATCTTTAGGCAAGGTTCACCCTGAGCGAGTGAGCGGTAGCCGGTGAAGCCCGGGTCGGTGGCCGGGCGCAGGCCTTCGCTTGGAGGCAGGGAAGGCTAGGCCCTTACTCAGCTCCCTGGCAACACAGCTGCGCTCGCGCGTAGGCTGGCCAGGCCTCTCGCCACTCGCCCATCCTCTGGACGTCTCCCTCTCCCTCGCCCATCCTCGGCTCTTGCACGACGTTTTTATTTCCAAGGTGATTTGGAGGATGCTTTCTTTTGGCTTTGCTATTCAGTCCATTAATATCAGAAGCTGTGAATTTTTTTTTTCTCCAGGAGACTTTTCTCTCCGCTTCTTCTCATTTCCAAGTTGATTTGTTCCCAAATGATTTTAATATGGCCAAGAAAAAAAAAACAGGGTTCAGGAGCACACAGTCAGACTCCATGAAACCTGGTGCCTCTGCTTTCTTCCAGGTCGCTCCCAGGAAAGAAAGTTTCCCGTGGATCTCTTTTAGGCAGCCCTTTTGGAGGAACTGGGAGGAAAGGGGTGTGTGTAGGGGGGTGTCTTTCTCTCCTCTCTCCGGTTTGTTTTGTTTCAGAGGAGAGGAGGAAGAGGCAGGTGCTGTCTATCACTGCCACCTCAGGGTGGGAAACACCTCAGTGCAGTTTTGGTGTGTCAGGTATCCACCCTTCTTCAGATACAAAAACAACACACCACCACAGTATAAACGAGATCTCACGGTTGTCCCCTTTTGCGCTCTGGTTGTTTGTTATACAAGTATATAAAACAGTCTGGGTATGTATTATGCTTTAAATTTTCTGGTTTGGTCCCTCCTTCCTTGAACTTCAAAAATAAAAAATAAACCAGTCTCCTCGGTCCATCTCTCAATCGATCGTCTTTTCCTCCAAGGGCGTGCGCGCCGGCACGCCTGTGTTTGGGCGGAGGGGGAGGCGGTGGATGAGCCCGGGCTCGGGCCGGGTGCAGCCCAGGTGGCCGGGTCTGCGCTGCAGCGGCGGCGGCGGCGGGCGGCAGCGGCGGCTGGGCGGCGGCGGCTGGGTGGCGGCGGCAGCGGCGGCAGGGACGGCGGCGGTGCTGACCGAGGCTTCGGAGGCGGCGGCGGCGGCGGCGGCCCTCTTCGCGCGCCCCTGGCCTTCACTGCACACTTGTCTGCAGCCCGTGGTGTGGCGGCGGCGTGTCGGCGCTCACGGTGCCCACCTGCGAGTAGACGTCGTCGGGCGTCTGCTGCTGGATCCCCGGTGGCGTCATCCGCTTCTCCTTTTGGCGCCGGTTGCAGAACCAAACCCGCACGACTTCTTTCTCGAGTTGTAGGCTGTCGGCCAGGTTGGTGATCTCCTGCGCCGAGGGCTTGGGGCACTTGAGGAAATGGCTCTCGAGCGCGCCCTTGACGCTCACCTCGATAGAGGTCCGCTTCTTGCGCTTGCGGCCCTGGGCCGCGATCTTGTCGATGCTCGTGGGGCTGCCGGTACTCGAGTCCGCCTCCTCCAGCCACTTGTTCAGCAGCGGCTTGAGCTTGCACATGTTCTTGAAGCTCAGCTGCAGGGCCTCGAAGCGGCAGATGGTGGTCTGCGAGAACACGTTGCCGTACAGCGTGCCCAGCGCCAGCCCCACGTCGGCCTGCGTGAAGCCCAGCTTGATGCGCCGCTGCTTGAACTGCTTGGCGAACTGCTCCAGGTCGTCGGACGTCGGCGTGTCCTCGTCCGAGTGCGGATCGTGGTTGTTGAGTCCCGGCCCCGCGCCGCCACCGTGGTGCGGCGGTCCCTGCGCGTGGTGCGGGTGCGGCGGGTGCGGGTGCGCGTGGTGATGGTGATGGTGATGGTGCTCGGCTAGCTCGGGGGTGTCCCCGCGCACCAGCCCCGGGTGCACCAGGCTCTGGGCGCCGCCGCCCGCGCCGCCACCGCCGCCGCCGGGCCCGGGGGGCGCGCTCAGCATGCCGTTCACCGTGAAGCCCCCGGGCTGCGAGTAAAGCAGACTCTGCGGCGGCGGCTGCTGGCCCCCGGCCATGGACGGGAGGTGCGCGGCGGCAGCGGCAGCGGCGGCGGCGGCGGCAGCGGCGGCGGCGGCCCCCCAGCCCCCGGGGTGGCCCTGATGTGGGGGCGGCGGCGGGGGTCCCAGGTGCGGCGGCCCCCGGTGGTGCAGCGCGGTGCCGGCGTGCAGATCGTCGCGCCCGGCGCCCCCCTTCACGTCGGGGCCCTGCGGCGGCGGCGGCGGCGGCTGCGGCGGCTGCTGGGGGCTGCCAGCCATGCCCACCGCGCTGCCCGACCACGGCGAGCTCGCCTCCACGGCGGCGGCGGCGGCGGCGGCGGCGGCGGCGGCGGCGTGGGGCAGGGCCGTGACCCACTGGTGCGCGTGGCTCAGCATATGGCCGCCGTTGCTGGCGGCCATGGCCCCCTGCATGAAGTCGCTCTGGACCATCTTCACGGAGGATGGATCCCCCCGGTAGGCGCCGGAGGTGACGGCGGCGCTACCGGGCTGCATGCCACCGCCGCCGCCCCCTGCACCGCCGCCGCCGCCGCCGCCGCCGCCTCCGCCGCCGCCGCCGCCGGCCCCCGCCGCGTCCGAGTGCACAATGGAGCCGGCCGCGAGCAGGCTGTTCCCCGGCAGGTAGGGGTTAGAAGCCGCCGTGGCCATGCCGCTCCGCTCCCGCCACCCCACCGCCGCCACCACCGCCGCCGCCGCAGCAGCAGCCGCGGCCGCCGCCGCCGCCGCCGCCGCCGCGCCCCCCCGCCTCCCGCCTCCTCTCCCCCCTCCTCCTGCCCCTCCCCTGCCCGGGGCCCCCGCCGCCTTCGCCGCCGCCTCCGCCGCCGCCTCCGCCGCCTCCGCCCCCGCCGCCGCCGCCGCCGCCGCCGCCGCGGCCCCGGGCTGCAGCTGCAAGGCCGCTCGGCAGGGCGCGGGGGTCGCCGGCCGGCCTTGGTCAGCAGCAACGGCAGCAGCAACCGCAGGAGCAGTGCTGTGGGGAGGGGGGCTCGCTGGTCGGGGCGGGCTCCGTGGCCAGCCCTCGCAGGGGGGGTCGTGGCCGCCCCCCGGCCCCGGCGCTCACGGCTAGCTCCAGCGGGGCTCGCCGGGCGGGGCGGGACGGGCTCTCGGGGCGCTCTCCCGGGGCGCGCGGAGTCCACCTGCTAAGTGAAGGTTTTCTCGGGGAAACAACAAAGAAAGAAGGTGTCCCCTCCTTCCTGAGCCAAAGTAAAGACGGCCGGTGACCGGCCCCGCCGCGCTCCTTCCCGGCTGCGAACTCTTCTCCTCCTCGCCAACACTTTTCACTCGTTCCTCCTCCGAGTAGTTAAAACTTTTTTCGTCCTGGAAGGCGTGGTGAGGCGGGCTGCTCGCGCGTGCGGAGCAGCAGAGGGGCGACGGGCTCCGGCTCTCCCCCTCCGGTCCTCTCTTAGCAAGTTTTGTTCTGTCCTACGAAAACTTCTTGCGATCGTGCATTTCTCTGAAGTTGCTATTGCCAGAGCTCTGGATGGCCTCTGAAACAAGCGTCCTTGTGCATTCTCCTCGCGACACGCACAGTCTGATGCGACATCTTTCCTTTTGGGCAGAAATTAGGAAACAAATATAACAAGGAAGGAAGAAAAAAAAAAAGGAACAGGCAAAAATGATGTCGAATTGCTCTGTTACCTTGCTGCTGACGGTTGGGGTTGTTGGTGTTTTATTTTTTTCCCAGCAGTTGTCTGGAGAAGGAGGAGGAAGAAGAGTGCATTGGTAGAGGTTGAGGTGTGTGTGTGCATATAGGGGATCCTTGATACACAGACCAACTCCAGTGGGCACGTTCCACTGCTCGCAGAGTGCACCGACGGCGGGCGGCTGGAGCTGGCCAAGCCGGAGCAGAGTTGCCTCGCTCTGCGCCCTGGTTCGCGCTCTCTCTCTCTCTCCCTCTCTCACTTTCTCTCTCCCTCTCTCCCTCCCTCTCTCTCTTCCTCTCTCTCTCTCGGGCGCCCGCACTCGCTCCGCGATCTGACAGTTCGCTCTCTGTCCCTCCCTCTCAGAGCAGGGACTGTCGAATGTTTACCCTCCGCCGCAAGCGCGCACCCACCACCACACTTTCCCAAATACAAGGAAGTCGAGCACCAGGGCTCCCGCTGATTGGCTACCTGCTGGGTGATTGGCAGGCCCGGAATGACTGGCTCAGGACGCGCGGCCCCCCTTCCGGCCGTTCCGATTGGTTGCTTTTTAATTTAGGCAGAGCGTCGTAGAAGCTGGAAATCTGTCGCCCCCCCTCCTTTGCTCCCTCCCCATCGCCTCTTTCCCCTCCCCGCCAACCCCCTCCCGTCCCCTCCGCCACATCTTAACTCTTAGTGTCCGGCCCAAACGTTGGCGTTCCCTCGCCGGCTCCGTGCGTTCGGGATAATTCTGGGAGGGGAGGAAGAAAGGAGAGCGAAAAAGAGAGGGAGGGGACGAAGAAGAGGAGGGGGGAGCGATTGGGAGGAAAACGAAGGGGTGGGGGTTGGGGAGAGGGAGAAAGAAAAATAGCAACCGAGCCACCCCGCCCTGTGCTGCACCCGGACCCCACCACCCCCTCGCCGGAGATTTGTAAAGCGCGCGTCACAGATGCACCATTCAAGCTAATACCTATAGACAGATGTGTCCCCAGTGGGTTTTCAAAGTTTCCTCTCCTCTCCACGCGCCGGCCCCCATCTCCCTCTCGGTGGGGGTGAAGGGGAGGTCGCCTCGCCGGGAACTCAGGTGGCCGCGATCCTTGGAAATCCGCCACCGCAACTTTCTGCAGCCGCGGCGCGCCGGCGGCAGCCCTCTTTGTTTAAGTTCTCGGGTGCCATCATCTGGGAAACCCGCAAGCCCAGGACCTGCGCGGTGCCGGCGCGTGCGAGACGGACGGCTCTCGGCCGTGACTCGCTCTCCCCACCCCCCTCTCCCTCTCCCCCCTTCTCCCTCTCCGGTGCTCCCTCCCTTCCCTTCTTCCCACCCTCCTCTGGGATTCATGCAAGTAGCGTGCGTGCCCTTGTGAGTTCGGAGGGTGCTGGTCAGCGGAGCCTCGCCACGTATTTGAAAAGCAATCAGTCCGACCTTCCCCCATACATTCATCGTAAGTGTATTCGCCCCTGATTCCTCCTAGGATTCCCTTTGGAATCCAGCCGGAGTGGTCCACACAACTGGGGTGCATTAACCTCGCTCTCCACCGTGTGTGTGTGTGTGTGTGTGTGTGTGTGTGATTGTTATTAGCGGTGGTGTTTTGCTTGCTCGCTTTCTTGGAAATGGGTGATTTCCACTCCCCCTTTCTTTTCTATCTCTGATGGATTTTGCATGGTGGATAGGACTGGCAGCTACAAACGCTTCCTCAGCCCCTACCCGGCTGCTGAAAGAGTTAAGGGGGCCGGGAGGGGGAGTGTGCTGGGTAGGCGGGAGAAGCGGGGGTGGGGTGGAGTAGGGTGGAAGGGGGGGGGGACGCGGCCAAGCGGAAACGCTGCACAGAGGAACCTCAGCGAACCAAGAAAAAGGAGAAAGTGGCAACGAAAACAAGAGCAAATTGAACCCTCCTCGGGGATTTCCAATGAACTAACCCAATTCGGACATTCAATAAATACATGGTTTCTAATGAGTGTGCGTGTGCATGCACCCCACGCTCCCAGCTGCGGGTGCGCGGGCCGTAGAGCCTCCACTAAGTCCCCAGTCCTGAACGGCGGCCCTGGATGTAGGGTGTAGTGGTAGGACGGTCGGGATGCCTCGGTTATAAAGTGAACGGGCCTGCTCTTCTCCTCTCCCGAGGCAAGGTTCCTGTGTCCAGCGCAGTTAGTGGAACTCACTGCCTGAGCTCTGTAATCCAGAATTATTAGTACGCAGCCTCTATGCGGTCTTAAGATTAGCACGAGAAGCGTAGAATTTATATAGGATCTCGTCCAGCTCCTGCTTGCCGGTGAAAGATACCATCGTAGGTAGGTTGCAGAAAAGCATTTTTTTTTTTTTTTTGGCCAAGGAGTAGATCTAAAAGACAGCGATAACCAATCCCCAAACAGAACGAATTTCTTCCCTTCACGTTCCCCAAAGCCTCCTTTTTATATTTATGTATGAGGATATGTATATATATAAAATAGAACACAGATTTCATTGAATAAATCTGAGATCTCCAGGTGCAGACGTTTGAATAGTCGGTGCCAGCACCCCGTGTTTTCCTTTCCTGCCGATTTTGCTTGGATCCGGCTCAAAAACCGAGAGTCTCGTGGTTTTGTTTACACTGAATGGGGAGGATAGGAACAGAGCCACGGGGCCGCCTTTCATTAATATACAGTGAGGATTTTGTCTAAATTACTGCTATGAATTTCACAGTACACGCTTTCAAAAGCAGTCTCAGGTGGCCCGATGAAACGTGATAGCGCCTTTGCAAACAGATCCACTTTCTTTCTTTCTTTGCAAGCCGTGTGTGTGTGTGTGTGTGTGTGTGTGTGTGTGTGTGTGTGTGTGTGCGCGCGCGCTTGCGCTTGCGCTTGCGCTTATGGGAAGCCTCCCCAAAACGCTGTGCTCCTCGATAACAGAAATGCACTTCTGTTCCGAGGTCTGGCCCCTTCTACCTCCCCCCTTTCCACGTACTTAGTTCTCGAATCGCTCCCCAGCCTCCCTTACCCCCGCCCTCCCTTATCCACCCCCTCCCTTCGAGGAGTGTGATTGTTTTGTCTGGGAAAAAAAAAATCCAAAGTATATAACAAGGGGAGAACAGTTAGTGCTGATTTTCATTTGCATACATTTTCATATATTTTGGTGAAAATAATAGACTAGTGAGAGCTGGGCTTACAGGAGTCAGTGTGAGGAGAGGCTAAGGATGCACCGGTTCTGGAGAATTGAGAATATACCTTCTTCTCCACACCCTAGGCACCTTATTTTATTTTTAAAAAATAAACACCTCCTTTTATTTAAAAACATAACCTTGGAAGTTTGCTCGGTAAGTGTTTTTCATTTTCTTTCCCTGCTTTCTCTTTCATCCTCTCCTTCCTTTCTGGTGTATTTATTTATGTACTTGTAGGTTGGGGAGCTTATTTTCATTGCTTGGGACAAGAGAGGGTTCACAGAGGAACTGCCTGAAAGAAGGAAAGCGAAGTGTGTTGGAGGGAGAGCATAAAAAGTCCAACCCTGCTAAAATATTACATAAAAGATGGACTCATTCCAAAGATACACACACTGCAAGGTTCTTTACTCTTGGGGGGGGGGGGAGAGGCATAGAATGCTATTAATTTTAATTGTTGATCATGAGGGGGGAAAGCCTTGGAAAAAGAAGTGATTACTACAGTGTATAAATACTTCTTATTTTCTTAGGGAATGAAAACTAGAGGGGAAGAAGCCCCTTCTGTAGCTAGTAGGAAGGTACAGAGCTGTGGGGAGCCTGTGGGATTGGAGGGGGGCTCACGATCGGAGCAAGGGGATGGGGTAAGGAGGGGGGCCGGGGAAGGGAGGGCAGAGAGCTGGTGAAGGAGGAAGCGATGAGGGAGAAGAGGCAGGAAGTCAATGCACCTCTGGTTAATGCTGTGTCTGGGAGCAAGAGGTTGAGTTGCAGCCTCCCAGCTCAGTAGTGAAAGCTTATCAGGAAAAGGGTGATCAATCAAAACTAACCAGGACATCTCTGTACTTTATCCCCAAAGGAGGCTGGAGCTTCAGCATTGAAAACTACATTTTACAGTGTCTTTTTTTTTTTTTTGACAGCCCTGTGTGCCCCCCTTCCTTATCACTGTTCGATTTTTTTTGTCAAAATTGAGGGTACACTTACTACAAGCAGTAATGACAGAAATTTGGCCGAAGGAAATAGCTTGACCATGTCCAGGTTGTTGTGAATGTCTTGCCTTAGTGAAATAGGCCAGAGATGATTTTACAAAAGCTTTTGTTTTTTATTTTTTATTTTTATTTTTAGTCTTGTTCTTGTAAAGGAAACTGTGTCTGGGGTGTTGGGGGTGGGGTGGGGGAAGCAAACGGCTGGAATTTTATTACACTTTTGTACACCTTGCAATTTCGAGTTGGTAATTTATTTGGAAACAGTTGATGCCAAATCAATGAAATGGTTTGTAACAAGGGAGGAAGAGGTTTCGGCGGGGGAGGGGGGGGGGGGCAAAGATTCGCCAGTTTTCCACTCCTTGTTTATGTGCTTGGCAGCATTGCATTTGACTGAGGTTAACTCTGTGTGCTCCGTTGGACCAGATGCCATATAGAGCTGCTCCCTGAAGATCATTTGTTTCCTTGATGGGGAACATTTCTGAGCAGAGCATATTGGTTGCCATAGAGAAAGAAATAAAAGGAAGAACACTAGTCACATTAAGCTATATGTTTGTGCACTGGGCTTTAGATAAAAGGACCTTGATTCAGCCAAAGAGAAGAAGCCAAACTAGAGATTTCTAGTGCCACTAAAACTAGCTTTATTTTGTTTTGGACTTTTACAGTTGAAACATATAAGCTAATTTTATTGGTTGTTGTTAATTTTATATGACACGGTTTACTGAACAAAATAAACTTTACTCAGGAGTAGCACCATGAGCTAGTCAGCAGGGGGCGCACTGAATCATTGTAGCTAGTGCTGAGTAAAATGTAGCCGGTTCAAAAGCAAATCTGCTCTTCCAAACTTGCCAAAGGAACAAACACCTCTACCTTTCTATGCATATTCACGAGTCGTGGATGCATAGCATAACACAGAGTTTTTAAAATATGAGGACAATGACTCCCCTATTCCTTCCCCCCCCCTCTGCGAAATGGTTCAAGAAAGAAACAGAGTGCAAAAGAGAGATCTCCCTAGAAATGGGTTGTGAAAGCAAGGATACTTAAAAAAAATATTACCACAGTTACCTAATAGGATACTTAAGACACTATCTTTACAGTTGTGTTCCCCGCCCCCCGGGGAGGAGGGGGAGTCAAGAAAACAAAATGCATTCTGTATTATCTGTTAAATAATGGATTTTCTTCAACTTGACACACATTTGGCCCTCTAAATAAAACTCGAAGCAGTAAAGATATATCCAAGTGCCCAAGATCTCTTTTAGTTCAGGTGATATTGAGTGGCTACTTTTATTTGGGATGATTTCGGAAAGACTTTGGATTTACTCTTGAAAAGAAAGACTTGATATTCAAAGGGCAATACCAACTAGCCATAGTTAGAGATCTGTCTTTTAGCCCAATATTACTTAATCCAGTTGCAGAAGCCTTTAAATAAAAAGTTTCTGCCTGAAAGATTTTTAAGTTCTGTGAAAGAAGAAAGTTTATCATGGTTAAAGCATGAAAAAAAAAAGATATGTGGAAATCTTCCTAAAATAGTGAAGGGCAGATCCTGGCGGTGTGAGGCATCAGTCAGTTTGTTTCTCTGGAATAGTTTTCCCAAGGAGATTTAGAGAGCGTGACTAAGAAAGAGAAGCCAGCAGTGACTGGAAGTGTGAAGCTGCCTTGCACGGTTAGCTGGCCTACTGCACCTGCAAATGTGGCAAAGAACCTGCCAGGAAAGGCACGATTCCGAAAGCTTTGCTGTTCCTCTGCTGCAGGGAAACCCGCCACCCATTTCTTTCCAGCTGAGCTCCCAGCCAAGCAGGGTCCAGTAGTGAGACGTTTTCTTTGAAACTAATTTTAGTAAATCAGGGATTGGATTGAAGTAGTAGTTCATCTTGGAGGGTTGAGAGATTAGGCAAATAGACTAAGCAAAGGGGACACACTGAGACACTTTAATTCTATGATTTTCATCCTCAAGCGTTTGCATTTGAAGTCAGAAAATATACTATCAGATTTTGTGCTAATAAAACAAAGTGGACCAGAACAGAGGGAACTGTAATCTGAGCTCAAATGTGGCTTTTTCTCAGCGCTCTGGACAATTCAGACAAAAGAATTCTAGGGGATATCCACATGAATTGGACAAATAGTTCAGTCTCAAAGCTCTACCTCTAGCTTATTTTGCATTCCCATGGTTGTCTAGAGCATTTAAAAATATTTTACAGAAGGGAACTTTTCTATTAATTTGGATATTTTACAAAACCACGGGTGACATGATCATTATACATACTTAGAGCAAGCCTATGTAGGAATCATTCTTCCTGAGATCTATGATTGTTCTAGGTTGCTGTTTAATTTCCTTTCGTGCAAATGTGCTTTAAAAAGATCAGGGAAGTAAAACATTCTCGGTCCTCTTGATTTCTACATTTTTAGTTAACCTGTAGTAAAAGAAACAGTATATGAATTCTACGCAATGCAACAAGTTAACTGGAGAAGAGCTGGACATTATAGGGAAATCCTTCAGCATTCTGTCATGAATTGAGGAGTGGAAATGATCAAGCTAAGTATGAACTAAGATCCAAACTGCTAGACAAACCTACAGACTTTTCAATTGTTGGAGACAGTGAAATTGCTTTTGCCAAATGAGAAAATGAAGACTATTACCTGGGTCAAATGTACAAAGTGGGTGTTTACTAATTTGCTTCTGTTTGAGAATGATGAAGTGCTCCATACTGCTGTAGAGTGGAAGCACAATTTCCCTTAGCATCTACACATGAAAATGTTCAACATGCCATCCACATCATGTGTTCTATACAAAGAGAAAGGCTCTGCAAAAGTAGCTTTTGATGGGAAAAGAATTTATTGTGTGGGTACTGCAACACTTGTTCTTTGGGTTGCTAAGGGTTTGGAAGTGTGGGTTCAATTTTATTCCCTCTCCACCTACATTTTTCATATCACTTTGATAACTGATTATCTGATCTGGAGAAAAGGAGAAGGAATATAGAACTTTTTTTTTTTAAAGATGAGGTAGAAGGAATAACTAAATCTAAATGTTCCATGATTTCTCATTCTAAAGTAAGAGGCTTTCATTCTGATACTTAGAGAATAGCTTTAAACTACAGGGCATTTCAGATTGTGGAAGATAAATTAAGAAGGCATAGTAAGTAAGTTGGTAATCAAGTATGCACTTTTGAAAGAACCTATTTTCAACTGTTTGCCCAGTCTAGCTGTGAATGTGCACCTGACAAGTTTGATAATGAACACTCCCAATGGCTGGGGAAGCAGAACTGCTCCTTCTCCTTTCTTCCCCCCATCATTCTCTCTGCTCACTCCCAAACTAGTGGTCTTCAAAATCAGATCTGTAGTAGGTTAGGTAACAGGGAGCCCGGCTCAGTGACCAGTACAGCCATATTGGTGATGCTGATTCATTGATTTAAAAAAAAAAAAGTGAATTCTCTCTCAGCTAGAAAAAATATTTCAAGGTCAACTTGGTGTGTGTGTGTGTGTGTGTGTGTGTGTGTGTGTGTGTGTGTGTGTGTGTGTGTGCATTTTAAAGAACAAAGCCCAGAAATATTAGCTCAGCTTTCATAAAGGGGTGCTAGGTTATTTTGAGCTTGTAGTCATTCTAAAATTGAACCTGAAGCACACTTCTTGGACCAAACACTCCCTACTCCTATCTATTTTACAATACCTTCTCTCTGGGTTGGAATCAGGAGTCTTGAGGTGGATAAGGGAGCCACTGTGGCATGCTGTTAGAAAGCAATTCTTGCACTTTGGATGCTTCTTTCTTTTCTTTTTCTATTAGAGACTTTTTATTTTTACATTTGAACTTAGCTATTATCGGAGGAGCTGGGTACAGACTGCAGTCTGTCAGTCTGTTCTTTTCTACCAGATAATGCTCTTAGAAGCTCATTCTTCCCCTATGTTGAAATTCCCACTTCAGGACTCTGTTCTTTCCCCGGGCCAACCGTACCCAGTGCCTCAGGGTATCTACCAGAAGAGATTGTTCTTGTTACTCACTTAAAAATAAAACCTTCATATTAGGTGTTTGCAGCAACATAATTTTTAGGGCTAAAATTTCTGGTCGAGATTTTGGTTGTAGTGACCTTATTCGAGGTAGCTTCTTGCAGCTCAGGCTGATTAGTCACAAGTTAAAAGTTAAGTGTCCAGTATTGCCTAGAGTGCTCCCCCATTTTTTTTAAAAAAGAGAGCCAGCTTAATAAAGCCCCCACAGGGGGGGTAAGGTCCCAAGCTTAGAGTGGCACTTGATAGATGTAGAATGTTTAGTATCAAACCAGTGCAAAAAAAAATTCTCCAAAAGTGAATACATATAATTCAAATGGTATGGGCTGTGTTTCCTTTATTTTTTATTCGCATCACACACACGTACACACACACACACACACACACACACACACACACACACACACACCGATCAAGTAAAACTTCAGTTTTTTAGTTTCCTAAAATAATAATAAAAAACTGATTTATTCCCCTCTCCCCAGGTGCCTAGCAGAGGTTCCCTTTCGGAGTTAAGGTATAAGAACGTTCCCCTTGAAAGGTTTTCCTTGGAGACTGCAGCGCTCCGGGCTCCCATTCCACAGCGGAAGGGACCTCTTTTTTGTCCCCCTCCCATTTCTGTGATTTCTGGGCACCGAAATGGACTCTTTCCAAATCAGTGGTAAAATGTGGAGCCTCGGGGCTAAGCTTGGCGTCCTTAGGTCGCATTCTAACGACATTTATTTAGAGCGCAGTTTGCATAATACAATTACAAGGATCCTTTACTCTCCAGCTCTCTCCAAATGCTGCCCAGCAAGGTCTTTCAGAACACGGAAAGGCCTGCAGGAGTCGAGTTAGCATTGTCTCTCCCCTCCCTCCCCCAACCACCTCAAGTACAAGAAAAAGGGACCGCGAGGCAAAAAAAAAGGCCAAGTGAGAAGAAGGTAAAAGGAGTGAAGTGGAGAAAGAAAGAAAGAAAAAAAGCGGACAGGAAACTGGAGACAGAAAAAGATAGGAGAAAGAAAAACAGGGGTGGGGGAAAAGAACCCTCGAATGCTGAGTCATCCGCACAGGTCACTAGAAACCGGGTGCAAATCGCACCCATCTCCAGGGTTTGCCTCTCACTGGGCCCAGGGAGCTGGGGCTTTCAGCTCGGCGCCGCCCGCCCGCCTTTGTCACCAGCACGGTGCGCGCAGCCACCGGCTCCCGCGGCGGGCTTTGTTCGGTGGGAGCCCGGCAGAACCCGCGTCCAGCCGCGTCCCCGCCCTCCCTGGGCTAAGGACGGAGGGGGTGGGGACAGCGTGCCAGGGATGGGGACCGGGGCAGCACCGGCGGGCGCCCGGGACCTCTTCTCTTCGCTCCCTTTCGTAATTGAGCTGTTCTCCCCTTGGGGAGGGGACCCGGCTTGGTGGGAGGGGAGACCGGATAGGGGGAGCGTTCTCAGGCCCTCGCCAGGGCAAGGGACAACTCTCCGTGCATCTGTGCAAGGATTTTTTTTTTCTTTCAAATCGTATGTTTGTATGCATGCAGAAATGGATGGATGCATGGATGGATGGATGAAGACAAACGTTGAACTGGGTCCCACGTTCTAGGCTTTCTGGCTTAGGTTTGGCGGCGGCTGGGCATCACAGGTGAAGGCTTCTCGTCACCCCCTAAGATCTGTTCTCCAGAGGGGCTTTGGGGCCACGGGTGGGCGCTGTGGACGGACTCGGGGCGGAGGAGGCTGACACCCATAGCGCGCAGCTCTCGGTGGTGGAGGCCTGTGGTGGGGGACAAAGAGGTAGACACTGGAGCAAGCAGAGACCAGCGCGCAGCGCACCCACGCAACTCTGCGCGCACCCCGCGGGGCGGGGGGGAGACGCTCCCGCAGAACCCCTACCCCTCAGAGCCCAGGCTCCTGCCTCTGGAAAGTTCGGCTGGTGCGCAATCCTCTCCCTTGCCCCTACCAGTACATTTAGCTAGCGGCGTGTGAACGAGTGTCGCCCTCTCCGAAGCCACCCCCTAAAGGTGTGGGCATCTTGTAAGAGTTGCTGCTCTGTTATTGTTTGTCAAACAGGCCCTTTCTCTTGGGAGAGGGTCGAGGGGCATGTGGTGGATCCCGGGCCAGGATTACATTAATCAAAGCATTATTTCCCTAGAGAAGCCGAACACAAATGAGAGTAAATCCTGATAAAATTGGATCGCGGAGAAATGGAACGCTTTAAGTAATCTGCGTTGCCAAAAGAGAGAGATGGGGGGGGGGGGGAGAGAGAGAGAGAGAGAGAGAGAGAGAGAGAGAGAGAGAGAGACTCACATTAAAAAAAAAGCTATGTGTTTTAAGGCAAAATCTGTACATCTTTGGCCTTAGCTTGACTGCTGGATCTAGGTCAGTGGATCTCCTTTAGTGAGAAAGGGCCGTGGTCACTGTGGGGTTCAAGGTTCACAAAATCAGATTTCAGGACCCCAAGCTCCTGCCAGTCCTTGAGGAACCCCCAGGCCGGGCCAAGTCCTTTTGGGCGCGCCTGTGAGGTTTTGAACTCCGTTTCTCTGGGAACATGGCCCTCAGTTTCCCGTGTGATCGAGTTTTAGGGTGGGCAACACTCCATCTGTGTGTGTAGGGAGTGCCAGGCGAGGGTGCGGGTAACCCCCCCCCCCCCCAATCCCTACTTCTTGTCCTAAGGTCCACTGAGTTCGCGTCCTCAGGGTGCATTCCCAGGTGGCCTCAGGTCGTTGCTCTCGGCCCGGGGAAGAGTTTGTGTTTGGGGAGACCAGTGGGGAAGCCAAGAGCGAAGTTCTCCTGAGAGACTTCTGGTCCTTTCTTCCCCGCCAGGAAGCAATACTTGCACTTCATCCTCAAGTGGTAGGAAACTTTCCGATGCCTTGTGCAGCTCTGCAGGAGAGAAAAAAAGGAAAAGCTCTCCCTCCCAGCCCCACCGTAAGAATGGAGTCAAACAGGAGAGAGATCCCCCCAGCCACCCCAGGCCTCTTCCAGCCCCAGGGATAGGAAATCGGACTGCGACGCCCGCGGCCCTTGATGGTGACAAGCGTTGACAACGGCCGGCCAGACTCTTCTGGTGAGCACTAGCCTCAGTTTCCCCTCCCCACCCCAATAGGAGAGGCGAGGGGTGGCGAACCCCTTGGGGTTCGACCCCTACTATACTGAGTCAGGCTGGCAAGACTCATGCAGGGCGCCCAACGCGCTGCGCCCTCTGCAGGTGGGCGCCGGGAGGGCACGCGCTCCTGCTCCGGCCGCGAGGGGCCGCGAAGGTGCCCAAATCCAAGCCACCCGCCCCCCTCCCTCACCCCCCTCCTACCGCTCGGCGCGCACAAGCACAGCCGCCGCTCCAGGTACGCGGCGCCTGCGGGCTTTCAGGGGAGTTTCTGACGCGAGTGGTGCGAGACGCTGGACTGGCCGGGCGGGAGGGTAAGAACCAGGCAGTGCCACCCAGGGAGGCGTCACCCACCTCCCCAGACCCTCTCACGTCCCTGGTAGGCTGCTCCGCTCCCGCCCCTTCTCCAGTCTGTCCCCGGGGCAGCGATCGCTGCTGCCAGCTGCGGTGCGCGGCGTTCCCAGCCGGTGAAAAGCCCGGCTGTCACCTTGCAGGGCGGGGCGGAGCTGTCTCACCTAGACGAGCCCGACTCTCGGAGCGGACGTTTCATTCGTGGTCTGGCGGAAGGAGCGGTGTGCGCGTGTGCGCGCGCGAGTGCGGGGCGCGCGCGAGTGCAGAGCGCGCGCAGGGCAGGGTAGGGCAGGGCAGCGCAGGGCAGCGCAGGGCAAGAGGAGCTGCAGAGGCTCTGGCACCAACCTGTCCTTTCTAGTTAAATCTGCAGACGTAGAGCTTATCAACACCCCTTCTTCCTACAGCTCTCTATTTGTGCATCTCGCTCCTTTCTCTATTTGGTTCCCAAAGAGATCTTGGTTGTGACCCGGGGATGTTTTGGGGCTCCCTGCCCCAGGAGGACCAGGGTAAAACGGAGAGGGGCACAGTCAGCTAGAATTACCCCCTGAGAACATTTCCATCATTCAGCTTGCTCTTAGGACTGGGTTCCACACATCAGGAAGCCACGTTAGGGGGTGGACATCTGCTTGCTTTCTGCCTTGGCCTCAAGGAAGTTGTTATTGTTATTATTAGTGTGGGGAAAAAAAGAGAGGAGGTAGAACATAGTCTTTAGCTGACCAACTGTGGTCCCATGGTGAGATTTCAACTTACTCTTTTCTAGTGATGGGACATTGTAGGGGGAAATAAAGACACCCACACTTTTTCAGTTTTGAAATCATACTCCCTATCTGTGATAGCTACAATTTCATACAAAGCAGGAGATGTCAGTGATCTCTCAGAGAGATATCAGAGAGACAGAGAAAGAGGGAGGGGAGACTAAGACTGGTAGAAAAAACAAAACAAAACAAAGTTGGGCCCAAATAAATTCCTTCTTCTTAAAACATTAACTAGGGACTCCCTGTTTTCTCCTTCCTGGGGACCCACTCAGTTTATTTTTCAACGGGGAAATAGGATAGAAAAAGTCAGGAAAAAAAGGGCTTAACTGTTTTCTCCTTCACGGAATCCAATTGCCATACTAATTTTGATGACTGGAGGTGATGACCACAAAACAAAACAAAACAAAAACCCACCAACAACTTCCTAGTGTTTGGTCTGTCTTTTCTTGGCCATAACATTTACACCTGAGGCTTTCCCATACCTTGGACATATATTTGTTTCTTGGATCAGTTAATATTAGATGCTTTTTCTTGATTGTAATTCTTAGTAAGATCTCTTGTCCTGGAGAAATATTTTAAGTAATATAGACACACACTTTCTGGCTGCCCCAAGAGGCCCTCAGCAGACAGTATCTTGACACAAGATTTCAATCACTCCTTTTCATAAGATAAATTAGAGGCAGTTACATTTTAACAAAGAATGTTAATGGTAAAATGTTAGTGTTTCAATAGATGAGCTTTTGTTTTTAGAATCAAAGTTTAGCTTTCCTTTGAATTATTTATCAGGCTGTTTGCCCATAGGCCTTCCTAAGAGAAGGCCAAGGTAAAGGGGGTGGTTTTACTTTTAATTATTTAAAGCATATGTTAACATAATATTTTAAAACTGGCCTTTTAGAAAAACAACAAATAATTGTCTGTCAACACCCACCTTTGGGATTGTAAAAAACAAAAATCAAAATACAACTTAATTACTTTCATACACAACAGTGCTCAGTTAACAGTTAACTAAAATATTGCCTGGCATTTCTTCGTAGCTCCTCCTCCTCCTTAAGTATAGTACAGTTTGGTAATATACTACACATATTTACACACGATGTAAATATACATATGCACAAGGGTAGATGTTTATGTACATAACATAACAAAATATATACATACCACAACTGAATACATTTGCATAGAACATGCCCATGTGCGATGTACCAAACTTCTATGATTAACAATACATTTTATAACAGATAGTCTCAAAATAAGAGGATGTGAATCTTATTCACGTCGGAAAAAATATTCAAAATTTCTTTCAAGTGTGAATTGTGTTCTTTGTAGATGACATCACAGAAGTTATTAAAAATAGATTTCTGGTACTATTTTAAACATACTCTATTAAAAAGTACTATGAACTTGAATGTTTAGTGTGAAATTAAACAGCAGCATACTTTTAAAAAAGACATTTAAAATAGAAATATTCTATTTAAAGTCAGATTTTTTTTGTCCCCCCTCCCCCATACATTAAATACGATTGTTTTAGAACAAAACTTTTTCATAGGCCCGGGAAGTAGCAATTTGATTCCATTCTTTTGTAAAGAAAACATTTTTAGTTATTTTTAGGGAAATTTATTTGTATTAAAATACATTTTGTTAGTCTGGTGGTAATTCATACTACAAAAGCAAATTTAAAGTATTCATTTCATACCTGAAATGATTCATATTAATATGGAGTGGCCTGTTTCTTATGTGATTCTTTTAAAGTGTATCGGTGTCTTTGGATTCTTAGACATTTTTGTGTTAAAATGAAGATTGTAGTTAATATGGATATATTGACATTTATTGGCAAGGGTCCAAATGCTCATTTGTGCTTGACAAATGTTAAGAGATGTTATAACTGAATTTACCTTTCAAAAGCTATTTGTTCTAATGCAAAAGAGGAACTAAAATGATAAAATTTTGAAGTGTTCTCAAGTATGATCAGGAGCTCATTCCTATAATAAGTTAATTTTACAACATGTTTGCTCTGATTTTTCATGTTTATGAAAGAATATATTTATTTTTAGAAAATATATAGACAGGATGCTACTGATTTCCTAGTATAATTTATTATTATTTAATTTGGGGAGAGTATTTAAAAGGCTCATCACACTCCAGTAGTATCTATATTATAGCTATGAGCTTGTAAAAATAAAAATCAAATTAGCTGAATTGTTTTTTAAGGCTTGTTTCTTAATCACTTAAAAAGTTTAAAGCTAAAATGATGGAAATATTGCAAGTTAAAATTAAATTACAAAAACTTATTCCTTGCTAAGGGGATTTTCTTTTCTTTAGTTAGGGGTTTAACTGCAAAAATATTAGTTTTTTTATTTAAGAAAGTTTCCTACCTGATTTTGTGGTGTGATACGGAGAGATATAGTTTATGAAATGACTTTAAACTGTACAGTGTTCATTCAAAAATTGAGTTGAGAAGTTATTCACTGCAAAATTGTAAAAGGATCTTTTCTGTCATGTTAATTAAGGAAGTGGGTAAAAGTCTGGTTTACCAGGCTCAAATTACATACGTAGAAAGATTTGTAAGAATAAATACTTTGGCATTATGTGGGCTAAAAGCAGACAAAACTATAATATAGCAAATAAAAAACTCCCCAGAATTTGGGCATCCAAGATTCAATTTCATTAAAAAATTTGGCAGTTAAAGAAAAGAAAGAAAATGCTTATTAAATCAGGGTAACTACAAAATGTTGACAGATCTCAAGTTTCATATCCAACTGGGTCTTAGGAAACTGCTGGGGTGTTGGTGGATTCAAGCTATTCTGTCAGACCATTTTTCATAGTGAATTATCTTTTCAGTACTTTCAGATTTAAATGCAACTTCATGGACTAACCCTTCCTGCCTCTGTTTCGATCTGTCTCTGTTTCATCTTTTTTTTTCCTTCCTTCCTCTTTCCTTCCCTCTCTCTTTTCCTTTCTTCCTTCCTATATCCCTACCCCAAGTCTGTAAGCACTTAGACTATTTAGAAAGCCTCATAGAGACCTCCAGGGGATGTAAAACCTTCAGCTCTAGTGATTTAAGATTAGCAACAAATATATGGTGTGCAAAGAAATATCTGTGCTTGCTCAAAGAATTATTATTATTACTGTTATTATTTCTCACCCAAGTACTAGTATTTCTAAAAGAGAGAAACAGGTAGTATCTATTAAAGCAAATATCCTTGGAGAATTGAATTTGTTATTTGGGTAATTCAGGTATTCCTGTTCTCCCTTCCTCTTAGTTACTGAGAAAAAAAAATCTGTCTTAACTATCATTAACTTGTAAGATATGGACTGATTTGACAATATATTGCTTGATTCCCCATTTTACCAATGCTAATAGAGATACCCACCCCCTTTTCTCCAGGGAACCTGCATTCAGGTCATTGTCTGGGTGAAGAAATTTACCTCAGATTTAAATCAGGGGAGTTGAGGGGCCTGATTTTCCAGGCTTTGCTAAGGACAGTGATTGAAGTTATTAGATAATTATTCACCTTCTTCTTTGCCTCCTGAGAGGAGGAGACACATGCACATAATATAAAATACTTTAAATTAATATTAAATAGTCCAAGTGGGATCACTAAAGTTATTTACATTTAGCAATGAATTAAAATGTTAGCATTCTACGTTTAATGAATTAGGGGCTTAGTCTCCTTATACGATCTGACTCAGAAACATTTGCTGAACAAACCTTCAAGAGCTTTTTAGTTTAGTGAAAGTTGGTGAGCTGAGAAGTACGGTCCCTTTACTTTCTGTAGGGGACAAAGTGGAGACAGTCAGAAAGAGGACAAAGTTAAAATGTTGTAGGTGGTAAGTGGGCCTGGAGCCCATTTTA